CCTGCTAAAAGAAGCAGGGGTGCCCCCTGCCCTGTTGGTAGTCGGGGCTGCGTGACATCGCTGCCCTTGCTGATGAGTATCTTGGTACCAAGAGACCCTAAAAACTCAAAGAACTGCTAAGAACGTGCTGGGCACAGCATGGGTGCAGAAATGTGACTCTTCCCGAGCAGACTATCTTGATGACAGGTTTTAAAGCTAAAAGGTTTATCTGTGCCATTGAGGGAGAGGCTCAAAGTGTCATTGGATGTCCCTCCCACCCAAATATAATTTAAATCCACAGATTTACTCTGGATGTTGTGTCTCCTCCCTGCTTTTGCCACCCAGGCATGGGATGATAAAGCACCACGGAATCATAAAATAGTTTAGGATGGAAAAGATCTTTAAGACCATCCAGTCCAACTGTTAACCCAGCGCTGCCAAACCCACCACTAACCATGTCCCTGAGCATCTCATCCCCATGCCTCTTAAATCCCTCCAGGGATGGTGACTCCCCGCTCCCTGGGCAGCCCGTTCCAACACCTGACAGCCCTTTCCGGGAAGGAGTTTTTTCCACTACCTGATCTAAACCTGCCCTGGCACAACCTGAGGCCGTTTCCTCTTGTCCCATCACCTGTCACATGGGAGAAGAGACCAACACCCACCTCTCTGCATCCTCCTTTCAGGGAGTTGTAGGGAGCGATAAGGTCTCCCTGAGCCTCCTCTTCTCCAGGCTGAACACCCCCAGCTCCCTCAGCTGCTCCTCACAGCACTTGTGCTCCAGACCCTTCCCCAGCTCCGGTCCCTTCTCTGGACACGCTCCAGCCCCTCAGTGTCTGTCTTGCCGTGAGGGACCCAAAACTGAACCCAGGATTCAAGGCGTGGCCTCACCAGTGACCAGTACAGCGGAACAATCTCTGCCCTGGTCCTGCTGGCCACACTGTCCCTGATGCTGGCCAGGATGCTGCTGGCCTTCTTGGCCACCTGGGCACATGCCGGCTCATACTGTCCTTTTTCCTGGGCAGCTTCCCAGCCCCTCAGCCCCAGGCCTGGAGCGTTGCAGGGGGTTGTTGTGGCCCAAATGCAGGACCCGGCACTTGACCTTGTTGAACCTCACAGAGTGGCCCATCGATCCAGCCTGTCCTCACTGCAGAGCTGCCCATCCCACAGAAGGCTGAGGGCTGGGGAAGGCGGTTACCAAGTGGGAAAGGCAGAAGCCAGGGCAGGGGAGGTATGGGGCAGCTGCAAGTGTGGGAGGTCTGCCCTAGGACATCTCTGCAGGAAAGGGAAAAGCAAGAGCTTCCAGTCACCTAAAACGAAGACCCCTGTCTGGGTATACTACAAAAGCAGGATGCTGAAAGCTGTTTGAGATCAACAGAAGACATGGTCATGCTGGCTAATGGTTCTGGATGCCTCGCTTCTCATTTTTGCCATCCTAAATAGGGGGAAATTATACCTCGCAGTACCTGGAGCTCCAGACCCGTGCCCTGCCTTGAAGTATCAAATAGAGGCAGAGCACAAGATGTGGGAGCTCCATATCTACTGATTTCATCAGAGACCTGATAGCTGTGTCAGGTCGCTAGAAGCACACTCTCAGGGGAAAAGTTTAGAATGCAACTGCACTGGGAGCTAGTCCCCATATTCAAGGGGCAGAGATTTGTAACTCTCCCTACTACTCTACAGATGATGGACTTGTTGTTTTAATGATGCTTTTAACAAATTCAAGAGGTGAACAACTAATATTCATCAGAAAACCCAAGAAAGTACCTGATGAGGCACAGGAACAAGGAAAGTGGAGGAAGTTCTGAAGACTTCGAAAGGGACATCCTAGCCATAAATCTTATTCAAAGGGTGGGCTGACTACTAGGACACAAGGGCACACCAGGCTTGCGTTTTTGTCTTCTGTCGTCCCACTTTTCTGTAATTAGCTGGGAGATGAAGTATCGGATGAAATTACCATCTGCCACTGTCCTCCCAGATGGCTGAGAAATATCATCTCACTGACTCGTGGACAACTCAGCTCTATACAGCTGGAGGGTCCTATTTATTTTTTTCCCATAGTGTGGGGCATTACAAACTCCTTAGGGACATCTATGTGACCTGGGACAACAGTGATGCCCATGGTTGGCTCCTACCATTTTTCTGCAATATAATATACTTGAAGGCATTGTTGGAGGGTTATTATATTGTGGTTTGTTTGGAATAGGACTCAGGTTTCTTATGTCATGTTAGGAAATGTTCTTGTGGAGCATGCAACTGCATGGAATGGATATTTTCCAGGTCTCTTGGCTACAGACACCTACTTTGTACTTGCATGCTATCAAGGAAGTGGGCCAGTGCATCTTGTCCAATGTTGCCATCGTAACAAAAACTGAAGCCCCATGAAGATACAGCCTGAGCTCCTGACATCCCAGCCATACACTGTGTCAGGAGGGGAAAAAGTGCTCAGCTGAAACACACCAGAGTGGAACATCTCCAGCACCAGCCACCCTGGTGCAGCCCACCACCCACACACCTGAGTACCTGGGGGAGCCCAGGGTAAACATGTTTTTTTTAAAGTTCCATTTTTTCAGGAGACCATTCCAAGCGACTGCAAGATTGGCACAGCCATTTACAATGGGCATGAGGCTGACAGCTGATGCCCGGTGTTTTGACATGTCTGGGCACTGGGGTCTTCACGGAGTATAGATGCATTGCAAGGGACTGGAGAGAAAACTGGAGATAACCATGGGGAAACTTAGTGCAGATAGAGCTCGATTTCTGTATCTACTTTGCTATTTGAGCTGGACTGTGAAAAGTTAATTTCAAGCTCTAATAAATCAACTATAAAGAAGGCTTTTGGCTATCTTAATAAGGCTCAGTATTTCACACTGGTTGATATAATGTATAATTTAAGCATTGCCTAAGAGTGCCAGCTCCGGTTACGATGCCAAACATCAGTGAAAAAGCTTGCTTTTCACATCAGCATGACTTTCAAAACGGAGCAAGCTGAAATCTGCTATGGCATTGATCAAAGGCAGAATTTTCTTTGCCAAACTCAGTGAATTCCAATTTCTGTTTGCCTAAAATTAGAGTGAAAACAGTTAGCATGTTACCTATAGAGAATTCTCCCACAGAAAAGATGACATTTCAAACCAGCACTTGGTATTACAGCCCTCCCCCTGAGGATGCATGGCACTGATTAATTTTCAAATAATTGGGTTTGGCTCAATACACAAGTTCCCATTTTTATGCTAAGTGCTATACTTATGCCCTGATATAGACTCATGGGTTGCATAGTTCACCCTTCAGTACAGAAACCGAGGTGCAGCTAGAAGTATTGCAGAGCTAGATCACAACATAAGGGTTCAAAAATCTTCCAGCCTTTTAGTGAGATCAGAAAGAACACGCTTTTATTGTCTCCAGGTCGTAACTCAGGATATCTGTTTTTTCCTTGAGCTCCCCACAACCACCACAAGCAAAAAGAAAGTCCAGGCAACCAAGAAAGCCTTCAGATCAAGGATCCAAACGTGGTGGAATACTACCAACGTGCATAAGGATAGAAACCTGATTATGTGTGAGGCAGGGATACTGGCGAGTCACTTCGCTGCCTCCTTGTCCCTTCAGACAGTAGGTTAATATGTGCATTTTATAATTACGAACAGCCGGCTGGGTGACTGATGGAGGCTGGTAAAAAAATGAGATAATCTACTTGCTGAACTCCTAATATTCAGGAAACAATAACTTCTGTATTTGCTTTATTTGTTCCCTTTTGTTTCCTGCTGTAACTTTCACTATTAAGAATTCACCACAACACGGAAAATACAGCCAAAAACCAATGCTGCTCTCAGTAAATAGTGCAGAACATTGCAACAATCAGAAAATAACGGGTGTCACATATTATGCAGTTTTTGCTATGTCGCTTAGGTTCACCACATGTTTGGTATTTTCTATTTACCTTTTGTTTATTAAACTTAAATCCCTGATCATTATTGTATGTCCCTGAAACACGCCCCATATGTAGTGCATACATAAAGTCACTGGAGTGAACTTTCTTGGGGAAAACACACGACTTACATATTGGATCTCACAGCACCAGAGCCAGCTTGCCTAGTTGGTGCATAGAAAAACACCAGCAGAAAGCCCTAGATAGGCTCATCCCTGAAGGACGTGAACCTAAAGAGGACACAAGCCAGGAAGTGGAAGCATGGGCCCTGCAGGGATGGCTGGTTCGAGACCTTATTAGCCAGCATGGAGCATTTCAGGGTGATTCTGAACAAGCAAGGCCAAACCTCTACCCTGCATTAGTTGTTTTAGAGATTTTTAATGACTCTAGAATAACCTTAAGTCTTCTTATCTCCATTCTTCAAAAGTGGTTTTTATCATAATTTTTCAGTTAAAAAAAAAATAATAATAGTACAAGTCTCCCCTCAAGCAGTCTGGACTATTTTGAAAGCGTATGTTCTGCTTTAGCTTACTCTAATCTCCTATTCTGATTATATCCAATAATTAGTCTGAAACACCATGAAAACCCTGAAAGAAAGTTCACATCAACAAAAATTTACCCCAGCCAATAACCTGAAAATCGTTGGTTTTAAATGCTACCTTTTGCTCTTAGCTATGAATTTATTAAAGCACAAGACAAAACCCGACAGTAGCCTGCTAGTGCAAGGACCTCTGCTGCTACCTGCAAATGGAGATTTGTTGGTGACTGTTACCCTGCACCCATAGCAATGACAC